AATATGCTGACTCTGTAAAACCGCTTAGAGAGGGCTGAAAGCCCTATGAAGCGGTATATAAATCTAACTGCTATTGAATGGAATTACGTAGCTTTAGAAACACGCTTTTGATAGTACTTTCCTCTCTCTCTCTCTCCCCCCTCCTCTAGAGCTGTGGTGGATGACAATTGAACCGCCTTCCAGAGGTAAGCAATGCTTCGGATTCGCTCTCCTTTTCCCCTGGAACATCTGCTTCCCTGCTTGAAAACCCTCGGCGGGGTGGGAAGGGAGAAAACACGCCCCTCTTCAGATTTGCTGAATACAGAATAACAGAGTTGGAAGGGACCTTGGAGGTCTTCTAGTCCAACCCACTGCTTGTGCAGGAGACCCTAGAGCAATGCTTCTCAACCTTGGCAACTTGAAGGTGTCCGGACTTCAACTCCCAGAATTCCCCAGCCAGTTGGCTGGGGAATTCTGGGAGTTGAAATCTGGACATCTTCAAGTTGCCAAGGTTGAGAAACGCCACCCTAGAGCATTTCAAACAGGGTACTGTCCAATCTCTTCTTTAAAAATCTCCAGTGATGGAATCCCTACAACCTCTGAAGGCAGCTTCTGTTCCATGCATTAATTAACAGAATAACAAGAGTTGGAAGGGACCTTGGAGGTCTTCTAGTCCAACCCCCTGCTCGAGCAGGAGAACCTATACTATTTTCAGATATGTGACTATCTAGTTTCTTCCTCACTCCTTAATTCCAGGTCGCTTCTCTCCTTGATTAGTTTCCCCCCGTTGCTTCTTGTCCTGCCTTCGAGTGCTTTGGAGAACAGCTTGACTCCCTCTTCTTTGGGGCAGCCCCCCGAGATATCGGAAGACTGCTATCATGTCTCCCCTGGTCCTTCTTTTCATTAAACTAGATATATCTGCGATCGTTCTTCATACGTTTTAGCCTCCAGTCCCCTAATCCTCTTTGTTGCTCTTCTCTGCACTCTTTCCAGAGTCTCCGCATCCTTTTTACATCGTGGTGACCAAAACTGGATGCAAATATTCCAAGCGTGGCCTTACCAAGGCCTTATAAAGTGGTATTAACCCTTAATGCGATCTTGAGTCTATCCCTTTATTGATGCAGTCTAGGATTGCATTGGCCTTTTTTGGCAGCTGCTGCACACAGCTGGCTCCTATTTTAAAATGGTTGCCCAGTAACCACCCAGTTCATGGGATTTTCAGAGCGTCAGTTGCCAGCAAGGCTCCCAGGTTTCCTTCCTTGGGCGCTGGGAGCTGATGCCAAGCCTTTCTCCCTCCCGTTTCTCCACCCATACCCACAGCAGAATCTCCAGCAACCAGTCTATCTCCTCTAATGGCCGATTCTTCCTTTTTTCTAGGTGAAGGCCTTCATCAATGAAGACCTGCCTTTGTAGTATCCTTTGCTGAGGTTTCACCCAGGATCAACTTCTGTTGGGTTCATCCGCTACCTGGGCTCTGGTGTCCTTCTGGAGTGAGGTTCACCGGGTCTCGAGCCAGAGTCCCTCCTTCAATGGAATGGGACAGGTTGCCATGGCCAATTCGCTGTGGCCAACTTTGTGTGTGATGATGGAATGCTTACAAAAACTCCATCCAAATTATTCCAACGCATTTCAAAACTCCCCACCTCGGGCTGGGATCCGGGAGCTTGCAATGCGCTCTACATGGGGCAGCCCTTGAAGAGTATTCGGAGACTTCAACTCGTCCAGAACGCAGCCGCGCGAGCGATTGTGGGTGCACCCATGTTACACCTATCCTCCGCGAGCTGCACTGGCTACCGATCAGTCTCCGGACACGCTTCAAAGTGCTAGTCGTAACTTATAAAGCCCTTCATGGTATTGGACCTGGGAACTTGAGAGACTG